TCAGAAAAAGCCACAGAGCTTTGTATCCATATATAATATTTTTGCTTTTGTACATCCTCATAACATTAGCCAGCTAATGATGCTTTTTGTTATTTCAAAGATAATCCAAGTAAACTTCTTATTGATAACTGTGCCCTTGCTCTTCTCCATTGCTGTATTTCTATACAGGGAATTATCCTATTTTTAATGAAAATGGTGGTGATATCTGAGCTGATTGCCACTTGGTCAGTGATGACAGGAAGCACTGAAAGAACAAAAGGGCTAACCATGCAATACTGTCATTAAATATCTGCTGCATAAACACTAGAGGAACTGAATGAAGATACGATGTTTAGTTCGGCAATTATATGTGAATACTTCATTTATGTAGGAATTTGAATGGAGATAGGCATGTTGATTTGTGAGTGAGAAAATAGAGGGAATTCCTATCAGAAGCACTCATTACCACAGATGAAAAACAATGCCCAAAGTGGAAAAGCAGAGATGGGACTGAGGCAGACTGGGATGGAGAATGGAAAGATCAGACAGATATAACATGAAATGGCAGACAGGAGATCAGTGGAATGATTCAAAAGGTAGAGAGACAAGATGAAAGAAGCAGGAAAGATAAATTTTACTATTTACATTCAAAAAGAAGCAAAACAAATATCTCTGGGAGTGATTTCAAGAGATTATCTAGCCCATCTCCCTCCCTAAGGCAGCATGAACTATGTTTAAACCAAGTCTGACAGATGCTTGTCTAACCTGTTTGTAAAACGTTCCCATGTGGCTCTGGCAGTCTTTGTCGCTTCTTGCTGCCTCACTGGCCGTACTACTCAGCAGATTTTCTTGTGTGCAATCTATATTGCCTCCTCCACAGTCGACAGAGGTGTCAATTTATCCCTCTCCTCTTTGCAGCAGCCAATGTTGGACACAAAAGCTGTTACCATTTCCCCCCATTCTTCTCGAGATAAAACAACCCTAGATCCTTCCCTGCACCTCATGCTTCAGAGAGTGGTGATCTTTCTCCTGCCTTTCGTCTGATCTTCCTGGGCTAAACTGCTCCGACTGGTAATTAAAAGCATGGTGCTGAAACTGAATGCAGTACTCTTGCTGGGATCTCACCAGTTGGAAAGGATTGCTTTGCTTGCCTCACAGACAACACATTGTCCCACTGTCACATTTGTCTTATTCACAAGACGTAGCTGATTCACAGCCAGCTGGCGATGGCTATGTGTGCTTCAGCGAGTAGTGTGTGGCAGCAGGAAGCAAGATGTGGTGAAACAGCTGGTGCTGAGCACCTGATGTTCACTCTGTCCATGTGTCAGAAACTTCCACCTTGGACTAGCTTTGGTCCAGCACGGCAGCCTGAGTACCCATCAGCAGCTGCAGCACATTGGGGTGCACCTAAAGCATATCTACTGGTTCATTTTTTGTGGAGAGGAATCACATTTCCTACCCTCCAGGAACAATCTGTGGTGTAAAACAAAGCTTGATAATTAATGATTTGCTTCAACAGCGCACTTCTGATCAGAACTGAAATACTAATGTAACACATCCTGTAACATCCAACCCTTTAATGCAGGGCTGCTCCCAAGCCAATTGCTCATCCTTGATTTGCATAGTGTTTTATTTTTATTTTCTGACTCAGTGCTGTATTGTGCACTTGGCCCTGTTAGACAGCACCATATTTTTTTTCAGACTGTAGCTTCAGTTTGTCAGGATCATTTTGATTTCTAAGCCTATCATCTCATGTGTTTGCAGGCCTTTTCAGCTTTGTCAGATTGTCAGCTTTAATAAGCATACTGTCTATTCCAACATCTGTGCTATTTAATGAAATTCCAGAACAGGACATTATCCAGGAGAGACCCCCAGTATAACTGCAGCAAATGTAGCCTTCCATTTTGAAGATGATTAACTGAAAGACTGGAAATGCTGCTTTTGCTAGTTCTGCAGAACCTTACCTTATATTAGTTTATTCCATAATAAAAGTGTCAGTCACATCAAACTGTATAGCCTTTGTGATTCACAAGACCTGTTATCCTGTTGTAAAAGGTGGGTGGGTGGGTTTCAAATGATTTCTTCTCGATTAATCCATGTGCCTAAAAACCATTTCTTTCTTATCTTCTATTTGCTTTCTCTATTTGTTTGAGAATTGTACTTAAATGGATTGGGCCATAATTCTGTATCTCCTGTTTCTTCTTACTTCTCAGGATAGTTGTTATTCTTGCCTTTCCAGTCTTTCAAAACTTTACCTCTTCCATACAGGTCTTAAGGATAGTTATTAATGGCTGTGGAAATGCTTCAGTTATTCCATGGACAATTTAAGGTGAATTCCATCAGCCTCACTGATTGCAAACCATTTACCTCACCTAAACCTGGTCTATTTTTAAAAAATTTTTTCTCCCCCCCACTTCATCTCTTGAATTCCCATCTCTTACTGCTGGTGTAGAGCAAAAGAGGCATTGCAGAGTTGGCTTTCCTGGAGTCATTAGTTAATAGCTTGTTCTCAGCTGGATAAATCCTTTCCTTGATTTTCCTTTGACAGCTTATGTTTTTACAGTGTTCTAATACCTAGTACCTTTCTAATTACTTCTCATTTTGTGCTTCAAAATGAGAAATTTGAAAAACTTTTAGGTATTTCAAATCTTATCAGCATATCAGTACCGCTCTATGTTTGTACATAGATTTTGATTTCTGTATGCTTTTTTTTTTTTTTTTTTTTTTTTTTTTTTTGGTGTTTTAAGTTTCTGAAGATCTCACAGCTTCAGCTATGTGGCTGTCTTCCTGTAATCCCTCTGCATTGCAAATATTTGTCTCAGCTTTTAATGCAGTATCTTTAGGCAGGTGTCAAGTGTTCAGACCTCATTTTCCCTCTCAGATTCTACTTCTCATGGAACATCACCTGCCCACCTTCTGAATTAGTATTATCTACTTATTATTCTGTTAGGTGAACAAGTCCGTTTTTGAGCAATTGATCTTGTCTAGTGGACCATTGTAGCTCTCAGCTGTGACAGAACCTCTTTATTTCCCCCTCTACAATTTTCCAAAGTCTTTTACTAGGCCTATATTCTTTTATCTTTTGATTCAGGGCAAAAGTTTAGATAATCAAGTGGGATATAAAGACTATGAGGAGATTAATGGCCAAAGTATTGCCGGGAGTTTGATCCATAGCTGTACAAAAGAAAGGTTAATAAGTAGAGTAAGAAGAAAGTTAATGACTAGCACAGCTGTGATGGAGGAAGGTTATGGTGTTGTCCACCAAAGGATCTAATCTTCTAATCTCAAGATGTACAACACTGATCCTTTTTTTTTTTATGCTTGCTTTTCTTTCTAAGCTCATTGTAAAAAACATAGCTCTGAAGGTGGTCATGAAGATTATATATGAAACAATTATTATGGGAGTGTAACTTTAAAAAGTGAAGAATCAAAGGTTTTCTTTCTATGTAAATTAAATATTTTGACTGCTGTTTCCTTGTAAATAACAGCAGGGACTCTGTTACACTACACAAATAATTTACAGTAGCAGTCTTGAGAATGGCCTCTCTGGAGCAGCTTGCCTCTTGTTCTAGTACAAAATTTTGGAGGCAAATAGAGGTCTTGATGTAACACATCTATCTAATTATATAATATGCTGGGGGTAGATTCATCTCTTGTCTCTTCAGAAACAAGCTTTTTTTTTTTTTTCTTTTTTTTTTCCTTCCTTCCTATAGCTATTGGGAAACACTTTGGAGCTTATTAGAAGCTTTCACAGCTTCTTTATAGAACAGCTGAACTCCAACAGTATTCTGCTGCAAAACCAAGTTAATTCTTCCCTTGGGTTTCCTAACCTTTGGTGTTTAACAGTTCTTATCCAGTGGTGAAACCAGGACATCTGGGATAAACAGCTTGGATTCACACATTGCCCCTCCTGTAGAACTTGTTTTAAGCTGCTGGCCTGACTTCTTACATCTTGTCTTGACTTCACTGTTCTTTTAACTATGAGGATTTGTCTGTTTTTTTTTTTTTTTTTTTTTTTTTTTCCCCATATGTCTCATTTTATTAGCACAAAGATCAGTTGAATTTCTCACACAGCATCCATGTATTTAAGTCCTCAGGCCTTTGCTAAAGGTCTTTTTCAGCCAAATCTCTCTATTTCCCTGATCATGAGGAACTTGAAAACATTGAGTTCACTGCATGGTTTCAAGAACTTAGATATTTTGAACCACACAGGTGAGGCTGAGTGTGTTGAAACTCCCTTCACCAAGAGATTCAGAGATTGTCTTCCCTGAAACACTTTGAAACCAGATTTGCATCAGCAGTATGGAGAGAAAGCCCAGCACACCATCAGACTTGATGTGATTACACATCTTAATCTTGATGTGCAACTGTGAGCTGACCTTGAGTTGGCTAATTGCATTTATGACAAAACCGGTTAAAATAAGCCCTTTGTAGTAGTCCTGTGCCCTGCAGACTTGCCCCGAGGACCTCCTTGAGCAGACTAAATAGGTTCAATCGGGTTTGCTTCCCTGATGCCTCCATGATCCTGATCCTTTCCTAGCACTGATAAACGTACATTCTTCTCAAACAATGGCAGGCTGCATTAGTGCTAACCATGGCACATTCACACCATGCTAAGCACGCATTCATGCTGGTGGTGATGAAGAAAAATGCCTACAACAAAGAGTATCAAATGTACTGGAACTGGCCATTTTTTGTATCAATTTTTTTGCATTGTTTCCTTCAAATTCTTGCGTACCTGTAGATGGGCGCAGTGAACTTCAACCAGATAAGTAAATGAGCACTTATTTCTCTTTGGAATTATGCTTTTTTGCTGGGTAGTTTTTAGGTCCTTTCTTTCCAATGCTGCCAAGTTCTCCACAGTTAAATAATTTCTCCCAGAAATGGAGTTAATTCTCATTATTGTCTTAGCTGTTTATTTCATGTACTAACAAGTAGGACGAATTCCCATTTGTCTTTTTTTCTGGTAAATGAGAATCCTGCTTTGTCTTAAAAGCCTGATACCTGAGCCATCTATGATCAAAAGTGCCCTAATACACTAAAATTAAATAGATTGACCTATTAAATATGGCAGGGAAAAAAAAAGAGAATGATTAATACTTCTTTCTTGCATAAGAAAGTAGTATCACAGCTTTGGATGTCTCTTTCTGAAGTATTTCACACATACATAATATTCAGTAATTCTGGTGTAACATGGAAAACAAATGAAATGTGATTTAAAAACTCTCCTTGGAAAGACATGTACACTACTCTGAGGCAATTTCATTTACTTAAAATTTCATGTTACTACTCCCACAGAGACGGAATGCACTCTATAACAAATATTGCTTCTTATAAGCTGACAGTTGTAGAACCAAATCTGCCCTAAATTATAAACTGCATTTTCTGCTGTTTGATAACACCTGAAACTGAAAGACATGTGGCTAAAGTACTCCTCTGTGGTTAATCCAGTACTTAAATACATAAAGAAAATAGCAGAATAGCTCCTAACAAACATATCACAGCAAATTATTCATGAATTTTCTTTCAAGCAAATGAATATCTGCTGTTCTTCGCAGCAGAAAGTCCTGAGATCCAAGTTTTGACAAAGCTGATAAAAAATAATTGTTTGAGACAATAAATCCTCCTACAGAGGACATTGCATTTCCCACATCTTCACTTTTTATCAGGAGAACACTAAAGCTGCCTGGAGGCTCTTCAACCAGATGAAGTATAGGCCTAAATAGATGTGCTTAATGTTGTCTAAATCATAGCAAAGTACTGAGAGAGCTGGAAATTTCAGCACCTCCAACTGCTCCCATAAACACATAAGACCCGGCTATAACCTTAGTAATTTCCTCAGCCTTTTTAGGGCCATTGTACTGTTTTGAGGGGTATAGGTATTAAGCTTTAATCCAACTGCAAAGAGAAAGAAAAGATTTCATAAAACACCAGAAGGTGAGAGAGGGCAAGGAGAGGCAAACCTGCCTGCAGTGCAGGGCAGGGGGACTGGATTTATCCCAGCTGTAATGCCCAGGAGATGTCCTGAGACCTCAAAAGACGTATTTTCAGACCCACCGCACATGATAAGCACCTTCTGAATCCCTGCTGTGTCCTCGGAAGCTGTCTTCCCTCACAGTGAAGCTATTCTTCTGAGCATCTTTTGTCTGCTATTTAGAGACATTAACAAATAGCTCTGTCTCACAGAGAAGTAACACTAGAAATAATGAAGCCCGGCTTCCTAGGGATTTGTGTTTCTTGGCTGATTACAAGCACTGATTGAAGCTGTTTCCAATTGCAGGAGATCACTCCTGTAACATTTCTTCTCATGTGGATTTTCAGTCTTCCAGCGAATACAGTCAAAGCATAGTCTCTCATTTTTCAGGACTCTTCTGTGGGGTCTTCCGCTGCCTTTTTCACAACTCATAAGGAAATCCTCTCTTCTGGTATATTTGTTTGAAATTATCAGTAAAAAAGAATTTGAGGGCCACATATAAACATACATACACTCATACCCCTCAGCATGATCAGAGAAATCAGAGAAATCTGACTTCCTACAGAAATCAGGCTAAAATAACAAACTTCCTAATAGACTCACACACTGCCTTTTCAGCTGTGATCCTATGTTACTGTGGTCTGTCAAAAGGCACAGAGGACTAAACAGGTGTTGGTTCTTTGGAAAGCTTTTACTAGCAGTCCATCAGCAGGATACATCAAGCAACTGACTACACAAAAAAGTAAGAGTTCAAACCATACACTTGTGAGCTCAAGTACATGATAAACCCAACAATCTTCCCAGTTACACTAATGGAATTGTTGATTTTCATTTAACTTACTTTTGGATTGGATTGGCATAACCAGGAAGAAAAAAAAGCCCAATTGCAGCCCAATTGTTCCACAATACCTGTGATAAAATCAGGCAAGGTGGCTGCTGAAGCATAGAGGCCTCTGTGGTGGTGGTCTTGGCTGTCTTAGAAGTTAGAAAATTAATTGCTGAGAAGCCTAAACTTAAAAATATGCCTTGAAAATAAGTAAATAAAAGAAAACAACAGGAATGGTATTTGTCAAAACTTTGCACTGCCATTGATGGCAGTGTCCTCTACCGAGAAATGAAAAGATCTATTTTTTTTTTCTTTTTTTCTTTTTTAACAAAGTTCTGTTTGAGTTCATCTCAGGTTTTGCACATGGCTGAGCTGCTAATTCCCTGTCCTGGCAAGTGGGGAAGAATTTGCAAAGACGTGGGTCATTGCCTCTGCTCCTCACCCAGGCATTGAAACCTTTCTGCCAGAGTACTGCACGTCAGCTACTGATCTGGGAATGCAGCACTGCCACCTAATTGCTTGCAGTACAGCACGGGACAGAGTTATCCTGTGCCACGGTCTGCTGCACAGGGTCACAGCAAACCTTACCTGGGATCTCAGCCTGTTAAGCAGGCTTCTGTCTTCAGAAAGGTCACCTCGGTTTCTGTTATCTGTGCGATCCTGGGTCTCACTCGGAGTCTCTGAGTATCTCTTTTTCCTATCCCTATGAAATATGTGGGGTCAAGGCAGAAGTTATGCTTTTGGTTCTGCACACCAAGACCATGTAATGTGCAGGTAAGTAGCACCTGGCCCTATCTGTGCAATTGCAGTGAAGGCAAAGGTTGCTATTTGAGACACAATATGGAGCACAGGCAAATGAAAAGTTTATGCATTCTTATTAAACTTAGTTGAAGAGGAAAGAAGAGGTAACAACGAGGTCACTTAGATACCACAAAGCCCTTCACTTTTCAAACAGAAAATGAAGAAAAGCAAAGGCCAGGGCAGAGGAAATAACTTATTTTTAGGCTGATAGGGAATTTGGCTCAAAACCCTTCAATCTTAATCTTACAATGACTTATTAAAACAAGTAATTCATTAAATAAACACTTTTCTAACTGTGTATTAGAGTGAGAATATTACTACATAGCAACTGTTAAGAATTCATTTCTGTTAAAGAGCTTCTATGACTGCACTTGGTAGTGCTGCAGGTTGGTGACCCAGAGCTTTGAATTCAATTTCCTGTACAGCTATCTATGAAAAAAAAAATCTTCTAGATCTACATTGGGGAAGTATTGACCTTCTGCTCTCCTTGTACAGATCTTCCAAAAATTTTGCATGTGAAAGAATTTAGATCCACTGGGTGTTATGATTTTTTTCCCTTAAATATATGTATGCAGTCACTTCTGAGATCAACAAAAATACACTGATCCTAACACTGCCAGAAGTCACTGAGATCTATTCAGCATAATTTGGGTTAAAAGTGAGCTGAATGTGTGCCAGGAGGTACAAAACAAAGTGTCACGCTGCTTTTGTAATTGCCTAATTGGACAAAATAATTCCCTCCCGCAGGGTGACCCTCTCTTGCAGCTCCTGCAAGGAATTGCAATACAAAATGAGGAATAGGGTTTTCTAAATTAACCCATTGTCGTTATTGTATTACCATTTTATGCAGTTACGGTTATTGCATAATTACCCACTTGTTGTGAGTACTCATGTCCTCTTTTACATATTTCTTGCTTTCACGCCCCTTGTAGCATGGGACCACCCCAGAGACATCCTTCATCAAACACTCCTCGTGCTCTAATGATACCAGAAAGTGTTTTGCTCTTTGGAAGTCAACCTCTCAACTAAATTTCTTAGCACTTTAAGCTTGTTTATCTATAGGCCTACAGAAGCCTGCTCACATAGTTGGTATGGCTAATGGATTGGTGACAGGCAGCAGTGGAACACTTTGATCCCAGTCCTCAGGTGCTGTAGCTTGTCAGAGGTGGATGGCTGAGCTGTTTTCACCATTGATCAAGCAGTTTGTAGCAGATTATTATAATTAAGCACCTTTGAAGTGCCAAGTTATATGAAGCTCTGGCACAGTTCAGGTTGTAGAATTCAAATGAGATTTATTAGTATTAGATTTATTAATATTCTCATTTTTATAGGATATCATGTCACTTATGGAAATGGCTTCTCTCCACATTTAGATTTGTCCTAGTGAGGCTGTTCCACCTGGGGAAGACACATTGAGGTAAATCACCCAGACTTGAGAACAGTCCTCACTCCTGATTTAATCTTAGTATCACCTATACGAATGCAAGTAATGGGCCCTGCATCTCCCGGAGGAGTTTTCTACCTTGCTGAGCCAGGAGGATCCCTGCCAGCAGTGCTGGGGCTGCCTCCAGCCCACCACCAGTGCTTTCCTCAGGGCCAGAAGAGCATCATATCAATGGTTTAGCCAAGTAAAAAGACAGCTTGATGACACCTTTGCAATTCTGTCTGCAGGGCTATGCTTAGTAGTCACTGTGAGTTTAGGAGGCAGCTTCATAAGCCCTGTAATTAACACTTCGGCTGGCAGCTGTTCCCATTTCCACATTTCCCTGCAGCACCGATACAACCATCGCTCACACCGGCTGCCGCCCACGGCCTGGCTGCAGCACAGTGCCCAGGCCACAGCAGTTAGGAGAGCTGTAGTTGGCTGCCTGGAAAAATATCCCACAGGGAAATGAGCAAAAACAAAAATGAAAAGGAAGAAGAGGAAAACCCGAGACCTAAATGATGTTACATGAACCGGTCTGCCAAGCTTGTTTCCAACCAGGCCAAGACCTGTTGCTGGAAGCTGACAGGCCTCAACGGAAAGAGTCCCAGAAAGGGAGAAGAGACAAAGTGCTGGGAATCTGAATTTGTGTATTTCTATTCTGAACCATTTCTCACCACCCAGTGTACAACATCAAGTAAGTGAACTTACTGTTTTGTTGGCTGTGCTCTAACTAAGGAGAATACATGTTGGGGAAATTTTGAAAAAGAAGAGAGTAGGTGGGTCTAAAAAGTGAACTAAAATGAGAAAAAACACCTCTTTTTTATTTTTGAGCATGCATGAACAAAAAAGTAAACATATGATCTGCAATCAGTATGTGTAAAGATGACATTCAAATATCTCTCCCCACCTTCCCCTCAAAACAGCTTTCAAAAACTAATAATATACATAAAAAAATATACATAAAGAGTTAATATAAAAGAGTTAATGTACATAAAAAACCCAAATAGAAAAAGGATGTCAAAACGCCAACATCTATGAAGTATACTGCAGAACATACAAAATATAAAATGTTGCTAGCTTTCTCTGCTAGCCTTGTAAGTGAGAACAGAATGGGAGAAATTGGCTCAAAGCTTGAAGTTACCAAATAAACAGGTTTTAATAACAGCAGTCTAGGAAGTAGTGAGAGAGTCTTTAAAATATACAGATTTGAATTACCCTTCCTGAAAGTCTCAGCTGCTATCTGCATTATTGAGGCCCAAAAGGTATGGATTTGAGGCCCAACAGGCATGAATGAGCCCCTCATATCCATGCCAGACATGTTGCCAATGTTTTCATTGAACTAGCTGTGGTGTGGCCCTGCGAGCTGAATTTCTTAGTGGGGAGATTATTTCATTTCATCCAAGAGCATCTGAGAGCATCCCCAGGCTGCCCCACAATGTAAAACAAGGTGTGGTATGGAGGGCAGGAGAGTCACTTCTGCAGTGAGGTCCTGCTCTGAAATAAAACACTAATGTAGGCAACACACTTTGTTAATAATTTTGTAACACAAAATGGACTGCTTATCCAGTTATGCTTTCTGCCTTTAACTAAGGGAAATAATTTTAATATGCCACCTGTCTAAAACTGTACAAACATGAAAAATGCTTAACATGATTGTGTAAGCAAATTCCAATATGGATAGGTAAAGTACAGGGATGTTTGATTTTTCTATGACTGGAATATTTTGGTATTTAGTTACAGTACTACCTCTGCTATTACAACCTCTTGCTAGTCAAAATCATTGCTATTAATAAATCTAGGAACTTCAGGAAGCCACATCTAAAAAATAATTTACATCTTCCACTAATTTCATTATTTTATAAAGTCTCCTTAACAATCTGAAAAAAAAAATAAAAATTGGCCTATCCCATGAGTGACAGTTGATGCTTGCAGATTTAGAGGGGATATGAAATTTTCTTATATCAAAGCCGACTAACAGTTCTGACAGCTGCAAATGTTCTTTGAATTAATAACATGGTGCTGGCATAAGACAATGTTTAAGAAAAATCCATTTCTTTCTGCAACACTGAAGCCCCTTGCTTATAAAATATTAAACAGGATTAAAATTAGTATGCTGCTTGAGCAGGAAGAGAAAACATGAAATCCAGATGTGAATCCAGAAGTGAAAAGAACCCTTAGCTCCAACTGTTATTATGGGTATTTTATGATCTGGGGTACATCAAATCTGCTTGGAGTACCTCCAGATGTTACTAAAATTCAAACCAGAATTTTAGCTCTTTAGGTTTAGGAAAGAAAATCCTCTGTTCAGATTTGTCATTTAAAACCCACTGACCAAAGCTTATTTACAGAAGCTTTCTCTACTTCCTTAACTTTAGCAAACACCTGTGAAAGATTCAATAAACTTGTCAGATATGTAATCTCTCTGAATACCAATTGACTAATGCAAAATTCTGGTTGCCCTAACTTTACAGATACAAATGCTTCCATATGTCTCAGTGCTTCCTTACATCATCTCTTAGTGGAGTTGTGTAATGTAAACACAAAGCCCTGTGTTTTTTTTTTTTTGTCTAGCAGGGAGAAGCTGAGGTAAAATTTTATCAGTACACTGATAGTTGAGTTCAAGCCCGCCTAAACTTCTTAGGGTACCAGTCCAGACATCCTGCTTCCTGATCCCACCTGCAGAAGTGAGAGAAATTTGCAGATCATCTCTGTAAAACTCACCTGTGCACTCAACCTTCTCCTCTCCCCCCTAGGCAAACCAGTGCCTTCCAGCTGGTGAGATGCTGTTGGTGCTGGAGCAAGAGCTGGCCTGAGGAGCTGCAGAGAGGTCCTATTGCCCAGAGCAGAGTGCAGAAACCCTGACAGCCTCACTGGCATTTTATCTAGTGGAAGCCAGGGTGAGCATATGGGGGTGGGAGAGAGCAGGGGATGGATGTTGCAAGCCCTGTCTATGCGGCATGAAAGAACTTCCCGTCAAAGTCGCAGGGAAAGTCCCAGCCCGTGTATTTACAGCTGAGGTGAAGCCGTGGTTGCTTTTTTTTTTTTTTTTTTTTTCATACAGGCACTGACTTGCCCCTTGGCTATCAGCCAGCACAAAGGTTTGGCTGCGTTCCCCTGCTCTTGGAGGACTACCCTGAGAACTGCAGAAGGCAGGAATGCTGTAGAAGCACAACAGCAATTATTTGCCTGGAAGGAGAGCTGCTGTTTTGCGTGAGAGCTCTCCTGGGCCATTGCAGCTTAGGGTAGGGAGAGTAAGAATGTCACATAAGGATGAAAGGAATTTGGCATGAGGAAGGCTGAAAGTACCTGATTCCTGAGATTCTCTAGATATTTTTGGCAGCTACAATGATCCTGTGGAGTCAGAGCCTGTGATGGACACCTACTGAGAAATGTGTCTTTAAGGCATAAGCCTGTGGTAGGATGCAAAGGTCTATATGTCACACATCTGTTTGGAATGGGATGTGATTCTGTGATAATTCAAAACAGATGCCTTAAGCATCAAGAGATCAGCAGGACAGGACCATAGTGCAAATAGTAGAAAGGGACTCAGAGAATCACACTAGCACTAAGATTTCTTATATAAATGAGAAATTTGGAAAATGAATTGAAGGGAATTTAAATAACATTGCCTTCAACATCTGCAAGCAATGCTTGCCAGTAAAGAGAAAGAAAGTTAAAATAACTAAATAAATATTTTTTACAGCAGCTTGATTTTGGAAGACTTAACAGGAAACTAACTAGGAAAACATAAGAAGTCATAGAGAACATAAAACATAGAAGTAACCAAAAAAAAACAAGGACAAGAATAAGTTAAAATCAGAAGAATCCATGACTACACTAAAGATGTAGAAACTATATTTGAGAGTTTGATTTCTAGAGAAGAGAACAGATCATGTTTCAGCTCTTGTCATCAGGCAATCAGGTCATGTTTGAGCATCAGTTGTGCCATGTGAACAAGAGCACAAGTCCATGTGATGCCTGAACCACTGGAAAAGATTCAGGATCTGAAAAGATATCACTTTGGAAGAGCTTGCAAGAGTCAGCAAGGTGTGCACAGCATGGGCGAAGTGGCTCAGAATTTCCTCTAGGAACAAAAGGTACTGAGATGATATCAGGTTAATCAGAATAGTATTCATTTTCAGCACACATGTCAACTAACATGCTGCCAAAAAAGTGCACTTTTTCTTTTAATGCACTTAAAAGAAATCTTAAGGGAACACAAAAGAAGACAGTTGACTCAGAGAACTTAAAATCACAAGGCCAACCCCTTGGAAGATATATATATGAAATAAATATATAATAGATGGAAAAAGAGAAGAGACAGTCAAGGTGATCTAAGCTTTTAAAGTCTACTTAACAATATGAGTATAGAAAGCTGAGAAAGAATTTGAAGCCATTTCCTTATGGATCAAGATCTCATGAATATTAAATAATGTACGAAAGAGTTGAATTGTCCAACAGTTCTCACACCTGCGCAAGTCCTTCACATTGCAAGACCAAGCTTAAAAAAGGAGCAGGATATGCTCATTGCTATGGGATGGCTGGAGGAACTGTTAGAGTTGTTCTTGTAGTTATAGAAAAGACATATGAAACCTCTTGTTTGTCCATAGATAGACCTGAAAGAACAAAACAAGACTGTTACAGTGCCAAGCAGAGATATGGTCGGTGACAAATACCTTTCTGCCTTTAGTACATCACTGGGCTCCTGGCAGGTGTTCATATTTGGAAAAAGAAAAGAGCAGGTGTTTCTGAACTTCCATAAAACCTTTGTGAGCTGCACTGTTTTCTCAGATGTTTATTTAGGCTGCATTTGGCACCTGAGAAAAAAAAAGTGATAAATTTTTCATGCCATTCAGGTTAGTGAGATTTATACAGATGACATTTAGATCTGATGAAAAACACTGGCTCAGAGCAGCCATGGAACAAAACTGTGCTTCTGGGCTGAAGCTGGACAAACAGGACTGTAAATGCCATGTTACACAAATAATAATATAAAAGAAGAAAAGTTAGAACAAAAAAAAAAACAACCACCAACAAGTCAATCATCAGAAAATATGCAGCAATTTGTCTGCTCCAGCAATATTTGGATGCTGAATTTTGTAGATGAATACACACCTAATGAAGATTTTCTGACTGCCATTAGGCAAAGATTTCCAATGATATGGGATGGAATTACTGAAAAAAAAAAAAAAAAGGAGAGAGAAATAGAAGGAATTATTTAGACATTTCAGACTTTACAGGAAATAATCCATGGAGGATTTGGGGGCATATATTGATGTCGTCATTTAAACACCGTGAATAAAACAAATAGTCACAGTAGTTTATGAGTTAACAAAACTTAGGTATGAATATGCTCAGGAGAAAGAAAAAAAAAAGATTATTTAATCTTAGGCATGGAAACAAACAAAATCATACATTTTAATTTGCTGAAGGCCAGTGATATTTGAAACTGATTATATATTATAAGCAATTACCAAATAGAGCCTGCCCAATGCTTGTTTTACTTTTTTTTTTTTTCTTTTTTTTCTTTTTTCAGATATGAAGTGTGACTCACAGCTTCAATATAACCTTGAAATTGCAAGCAGGGTTTCCAGAGCATTTGACAATGGAAATAAATCCAGAGAGAGATTTGTACATGTCACTCTTATTGTAACAATAGTTACTGGGGATAATATGCTTCATAAAACAATGTGTATCATTAATGCAAGATTAAATTTAGCCTGAAAGCATGAGGGAGGTGAACTTGAATGTACTACTGAGAAAGATCTTCCAGAGCATGCGTGTGGATAATTTCAGGATTCAAATGTATAAAGAAAAGGCCAGGGACATCCTTTACATGGATCAAGTACATTGAGTTCAGCAATTGTGTTTAGAAATAGCATAAGGTGTATCTTATATAGTGTGGCTGTGATGAAGACCATATCTAGTGAAAGAGTTTACAGAAAACAGAAAAACAGCAAAATAACTGAATCCTGAGAGGATGTGTTTATTTGCACTTACTATGCGTTTGTATTCCAAACCATTATTCTCCTTTTCCTGAGATAGCCTTACTATCTTTTACTATTTGTCTCTGACAAGCATACTACAGAGAAACATAGTGTGTGTCAAATTTATTTTTGTTGACATAGCATACCTGACGATAAGCAAAAGTTCAGCAAACACAAGCTTAAGAAGGGAATTATGCTTTTAGAGAGGCCTTGTTCAGTTCCTCAGTCCAATAAAGCAATGAAAAAAGGCATCAAAATACCAAGAAAATTTACTGCAGAGTCCAAGTCCACCTCAGAAGTGGATGCACCACGTCTCAGTGGCAGGAAGGCACTTGACAGGCTGGGCTGGCACTTATTTTGCAGAGAACTGGAAACAAGGATTTGCATGTTGAGATCAGCCTCAGGTGCGAAGACACAGAAATACAGAGACAAGCAAATTGCACCCACATAGACATCAGCTGGAGCCCTGGGAGCTGCTGGTGCTTCCTGGGCTGTGCAATGCTGAGGCAGGAGAAATGGCCTCAGATTGGAATGAGCCCCAGGCCAGGGTGTCAGAGCATTTACGGGGAGAGTCAGGGCTGCTCTGGCCTGTCCTTCAGGGAAGGGTGCTGCTAATCAACTTGTTAGTCCTGTCCCTGCTGAAGTTCTGCCTCAGCACCCTGCCACCACCCTGGCCTGGCTCAGGAGGGGAGTGCTGGGCTGATTCTGTCTGGACTGCATGGGTTTCTGCTGGGGCCAGATCCTCCTGGACCTGGAGGAGGTACGGACAGGGCTTGGTCCAAACCTCTCTCCTCCAGGACCTGCCAGGACCCTTCTCAGAGCAGGCAGTCTGGCATACAGAGTGCTGATGTGTGCTTTCCTCTGCGACTGCCAAGGGCTTTGCTATAATCGCAGCCCTATACCATTCCCTACAGAAATCTGCCTTTGGGAGGTTTGTCTGGGCTGAAGGTCTTCTGCCAGGACCTCCTCTGCATCTGAGAACTCTTGGGAATAACTAGAACCTCTGCCCCCACCTGGAGGTGGGATCTCCTTGCTACCCAACTTCCACCTCCATGTGCAGGTAGCAGGTCCCTCTCAGCACGAGTGACACCTGGTCTGCCTCCAAACCATGCTGTGCTCAGCATACCTGTGCTCCTCTTGGACTCTGTTTCCTCATTCTTGTGTCCTGCCTGGACACCAGCTGGTGGGACATCTTTGTCCTGTGAGAAAACCCACCTTGTCCCTGTGATGGAACAGAGGACAGGCACACGTCCATGTTGCAATTTGGGCTACTTTGTGGGTGGCCTGTGTGTGGCAAGCAGGAGACCTGGGTGCACAGGAGCATGAATGTGCCAGGATGCTTTCCCTTTCCTGGCGCTCCCATTGCCTTTCTGGCTCCACTTTTCCCTTCACCTCTTCATTTTTGCCTCTTTCACCCAAAGTCCCTGTAAATCACAGGACCTCCTTGCTGATGTGCTCCAGGCTGTGGCCACACTGTCCATCCATGCCACCAGCAAGAAGGAGCACAAGAGAAGGAAATCTGTGACTGTGGGGCTTGTCTTCACTCTTCTGTGGCCAAGTAGGGCACCCTACTTAGGACAACAGCCCCCAGCAGCCTGCTGGGAGTGGTGTGCTTTGCTCTGTGTCTCCCTCTGGGGTCCACGTGATGTATTTTTGAGTGCTCAACCCTCTCTTTTCTTCCATTACTTTCTTTTCTCTCCCCTCTTATATATATATATTTGTTGTCTCCTATCATCAGTTGCCTGTGCTCCTTTTTCAAGGAAAAAAAAATTAAAAAGAGCAGTGGTGTTACAAAGCTGCATGTTGTTTGTAGGAGCTTGTTTCTCCAGGCTCAGAGACATTGTGGAAGAAATGACAACCTTCTAAAAAAAAAATCCAAAATAAACCAAAAAAACAGAAGGGAAAGAGAAGAAAAGAGGCACAGAGCCTGTTATTTTGTGCTGCAAACTCTCCATCAGACAGTAAACACACACTGAGTGGGGAGTCCCAGGACATATGACCCAGGAATGCTGCCCCTGGGACAACCAGTCCCAGTGTCCTAGGGGAGGCAGCGTGCCTGCAGGACACTCCAGGGCACCTCAAAGGCTGATGAAAATTTACTGATAAATGTGATCTCTAGGCTGGTGATAAATATTTGTAAGTCTCTGTTATATCACTGTTTGAAATATACTTTTTTTAATGTTTTCCTTGGCAGGGTAGGTATAGTCTTGGGATTGTACCTTAAAGTTTTAGCATCTGAAACAAAAGTTCTGGCTATAGCATTGTAAAGCCTTTCTTTGTTATATGCAGCCTTCACAGATCAGAGGACATAATAAAACAAATCTGTTGCTAGGTGCTTATTCTGAGGTCCAAAATTGCAAAAGTATTCAGACATCTGCCTCCCCTGGAAGTCTATGTAACTTTCAGGATTTATATCTTAGAAATCACAAAACACCATCAAGCACTAGTTAGCCCAAATCTCAGTGATGCTGGAATAGGATGGATTTCTACCTGAAAATAAGGCATGCAATAGCATGATTTAAAAATGAACTTTGTCCTGTATTCTCTGCCCCATATAATGACATTTCTGTACATAGTTTCTTGGAAGTGTAAAATTGGGACAGTAATGTTTAGGAGTAGCTGGTTTCAGATCAGCTTTCCCATAATCAGTAAAAATATGTTTCTTGTACCCTTCAAAAATCACAGATGCAGGTCTCACTGTTAAATTGGTGAGGTTTCCACCCAATGGTGTCATCAGTGTCTAGAAATAATTTGGAGCAACTTCATGCTCCTTTACCTCTAATCTGTTCTATGAAAATTGATTGGAAAAAATACATTTAGGAGTCAAATTAAATCATGTTTCCCTTTCAAAAAAGCCAACAAACTCTCTTTTCCTTTGCTTAACACTCTTTACTGTGATGGTTAGTTTTCTTCACGTGCTTAGGTTGAAGCTGTCAACTGCAAATATTTGCTATCAATTTCTACAGAGCGGGAATATCCAGGGTGCTTCTAAACATAAGCTCTAGTACATTTGACAGCTCTAGTTTTCTTTCTTGCTGAGACATTAATCTGTAAGACTGTGAGAGAAGCACTGGACATGCAAGCGGGTGAGCAGCACAGGTCTCTTGAAGTTGCAGACCAAGATTAACAACATTTCATAAGGTGCTCAACAAGTGAAAACACAAGCTAAAATATACAAACAGAGAGATGAGCTGTGATGTAATCAGATGTTCAAAGCTAGGGAATAGGTGAGTTTTTGGAGAAGACAGCCATTTTGCATTTCCTTCCTTCCATAAAAATCACTAACATCATTCAGCCTGTCTACATAAACAACACATGCTTCATTTTGATCATCTTCTGGAGAAGGTGTTTTAGAAGTGAGGAGAATGAGAAGTGGAATCATTTTTCATGTTGTCAGAAGTGAGATTGACACATGGGAAGGCTGGAAGCTGGTAATGATTGAAGCTTTTTCCATTTGCTGTTTCCTGCTTGGCCAAAGCTTTCTTGGATTCCTGCCTATAAAGTTAATATCTGCAAAAGAACTACATTCACATACATATGTGTGAGATGTCTCACGCATATTTATGCCATTTCCCAAGAGACATACAGCTAAAATATCATGTCTTTGTATTCTAAATAAAAGAAGTTTTGGTCAGGTGGTGTTTGTAATTTCACAGAGTGAATTCAATTTCTGAAATTATAATACCATTTGATATCAGCCTTCCTTGCTGTTTCAGCAGATAAAGCTACCTTGTATCCAGAAATAGCTTTTGTGCATGCCTTTCTGAATGCTACTCTGTGTTCCCGTTGCCTTCAAGCTTGTTGCTTTGTTTCTAATTAGTCTTTCCCTAAATTACAACAAACACATGACACTATTGTTCACTTGATTTCTGGGAATACAGTCTGATGATGGCAGTGCCTACCAGGAGGCCAAAACATTCTCAGATGTCTTTGATATGGTAATTGTCTGATGTGGAGCAATATGCAGGATTTTAACTTCCTAGCATTTCACAGATAAACTATACTGTGATTTTGTCTGGGATAGAAAGCAAAATACCTGCAATTGAATTCTTCTGAGAATATCATTCAGGTATGGTCAAAGCAAGAGCATCTGGGAAAGAATATCGTAATGTTTCAGTCAGTGGTCCAACGCAAAGCTTAGAGCCTGAGAGTCTGACAATTTCTGGAGCTGTAAGGGTGTATTTTGAAATGGGTTGTGGGGAGGTATGAAAGCTGCACAAATGTGATGGTGTCATATCGGAAATAATTCATTTATATAGAGTGTCCCCAAAAGCTAGAGACAACACACTTTGAACTTCACAGCAGTGGGTGCCATGTTTAGGGATTTGTATTCATGTTCAATAGAATTTCAAACTGGGACTAGAAAAAGAAAGACCAATATAAGAAAGATGTATCTGCAGACCATAATGCCTCTGAGTTGAAATCTGCTTAGGCTACTTTGAATAGATCCTCATGGTCTAAAAGCCATATGTGTCCCCTAAGTCATTCCATTGCATCTAGTGTTTCTCTTAAAAGTTTAGTGTGAACATCCATGAGTCAGGGATGATGATTTATTTTTTAACTCCAGTTTCGAAAAAAACCACCAACATTTCATCTCATTTCCCATATTTGGGATGAAACCTTATTCTGAAATTTGAAATTGCTAGCAAGAGAGGAAACAAGGTTTTTAAAATCTGCCTGTAATCATGCCAGACTATTTTTTCTTATTTATTTAGTGTCTTTGCATCTATAGTCTAGCTAATGAAAAAATGAGCTGCAAGGAAAATTAACCCTAATAATAGGAGAATAAAAAATGTAAAGAGATCAACCAGTCAATCTGCTGGGCTCAGAAAGAATTCAAAAGTCCCAAATGCATTTTGATCACCTCCCTCCAGCAGCTAGGTAATCACACCACTCGCATAGCCAGAGTTTTTGTAAAGTTCATTTGCTGACAAAATCACCCCCACTCCCCAAATACTCAAACATACAACCAGGTCACAGAAGCTGAACAAATTATCACATATCAGCTGAACTGTATTCTATTTTCATGTCCATGCTCTTTACTTATTCTGATGAATACTACCACATTAGTTTAAATCCTTTCCTATGAACTCTGCAGTGCCTAAATCCCCCATCAAGCTTGCTCTGACTGCATGTGACTGCACAGTATTTGTGCCCTGCTTTAATCCTTCCTGACAACTTGTAAAGATAGATTTTCCAGACATAAACCTAATACATATTTCTCAGTATCATCCAGCACAAGAGGAGCTTGAAAAGCTCTTTTTTTTTTTTTTTTTTTCTGTAGGCTAGTTAGACATACAGAATATATTTTTGTTTCCCTCCTTTTCTGTTTTCCTTTTGCAAACAGGAGCTTTATCATCATGTGAGGAATAACCAGCAGACACATGCAAAAATAAAAGTTAACATTTCACCTAGGAGGAATTCCTCTGATATATTTGAAGACATGCTAGCTTAAGAAGGGTAGAACTTCATGTCCAATGATACATTTATGACATTACTATTAATCAGGCATAAAGGATTTGTACTGCATTGTGACAGAGAGCAATAAGAAGTGGACATGAAGGTGAATTGGTTATTAAGCAAGTAAATGACTTCTGTTGCCAGCCTGGCACTGACTGACAGGACTTGAATGCCTGTAGTGTTGTCAGATTTCCCAGACTCCTCAGTAGTTTTATTCAAGGGATTTTTGTATCTGGCCATCATTGCTATGCTTGGCCACCAGGCAGAAGACAGAAGAATAAGTCAATTGAATGATGCAAGGCTCTAGTTTCACTGGGTAGGACCAGTGTTTGGACAACTTATCTCATTTGGTGAGCAGGACCTGAGCAGTGTGGCTCAAGTTAAATGAAAGTAAGGTCATTAATCAGTTCTTTAAAGAAACCAGGTGGCACTTGCCAAGGTTATGTGGTGAAGAAAGTTGTATACAGAGCAAATTTAGCCTGTGCTAATGGTGTCAGTTGGAGAGTAGGTTCAAAGATGAGATTGATCCAAGGGTGAGTATCCCATCATGCCACCATCTCTTTCCTCTCTCATAGCCCAGAGTACCTTGGCTGCCTGCAAGGCTGGTGCTCAGCTGTCTTCATGTATATTGAGAACATGAAGAACATTTTTTTTTTTTTTTTGAGAGAGAGAATAATAACACTGGAAAGGATGAGTCTGAGCTCCTCAGAAATGACTGTGAGCTGGTTTTTTTTATACCATACTTACAAAAGGTCTTGCTTTTCTTTGCAGAAGAACAAATATTCTGTCCTCACAGTCTTTTCCCTTAACACTTTCATTTTACTGACCTCACAGCTCTGACCGTGCTCTGCTCCTCTTTCTTCTAGCTTTTATTTGTCCTTTCAGCTTTTTAAAAGTACTCTTGCTACTAACTGTGGGCTTTTCTCTCTCAGATGGTATCCCAGACACATTAAGATTATTTTCCTGGAGGTAATGTTTACAGATAACCCAATGAAGGGGGAATTGGAGGTCTCCCAGAAAAAGTAAAGATGCAGACTTTCAGGTTTCACAAGTAGTATTTCACAGGCAGTTGTGCTCGGGAAATATGCTGACAGCAACCTTAAGAGAATGTGTAAAAGAAGGACACTTTCTTCCCAGTTCTATTGAGCCTTCTGTCCTCCAGCCCCCCAGCCCACTTCTTTGATATTTAGAAAAATCAAAAGGTAAAAAGGTAGAAAGTTCAGGCAGAATGTGTGAGATGATAGTAATGGAATTGGATACACTAGCATGTATTATGGTACAGCTGTTGTCATCTTGACCATTCTCTCTCATCCTGTTATTTTTGTGAGAAGTTATTTAAATATATGTGCATATACCCCAGAGGAGTACTCTGTGTTTTGCTTTCTATTTTTTAAGAATGTCAGGAAGTTACAATAAATATCTCCATGAAATTTGCTTAATAAGAATTTTCAGAAGCATTTGTCATATTTCTGCTAGCAAAGTCAACTGAAAGACTAATTTTAGCAATGTGAAAAGCTGCTTCTATTGTGACAAAAATTATGGCCTAAGGGACAGAGCCACCCCCTCTAGAAATTAATACTTACAAAACCACATTTCTGTCAACAGTCTGATGGTGATGCCATGAGAAGCTACTAATGGGAAAACAGAGCTGTCAGAATAAAAAGTGTTCATCTTCTCTAAACCAAGGAGCCTTTATTTATTTTTCCAAGCAATAGGCACAACTGAACTGTTTCTCTGAAATCTCTGTCTCCCGTAGATAATATGCTTGGTTTAGCACTAACTCATACTTCAACCTCTGTCTCATGTACTTTGTATTTTTTTTTTCATCATGCAGACCACACTCTCCTAGGAAAAACAACTTTTTTTTTTTTTTTTTTTTTTTTTTTTTTGTTGCATCCACAATTACAGCCAAGCTTCTTGATCAGGGTACCAAACAAAACACAACATGCAATTTACATGGGCTAAAAAAACACATATATATCAATCCAAAAAGTAATTAAAGTATTAGCGATCTAGTCAAAGTGTTATTATTTTTTTGGGGTTCCATTTTGATTAAATCAGCAGTCCCAATTATTATAGCTTACTCCCACTCATGATACCACTGAAAGTGGTACACACCATATTTCTCATCTCTATTACTTTCTCCAGTATTATGCTCACCCTTCTGTTGTTCTTCAAGAAGCAGGAGAAAGAGTTATGGTGAGCTGTTAGTGTACTGAGTCCTTCACTGGGAGAAGTATGATCTTGCTGAGGGTTTCTTCCTCCCTACTGCAGGATCTGCTTGGGGCTATTTTTATACATTTCCTAGCACGTTGCTCTTTTTTCATTGGTCCACAATTCCACTTTATATCTAAATATACTATATATAGTACATTTTGCACATTTGTTCTTTGTTCCCTTTATCTTCAAAGCCAGTTTTACAGGCCTCTCCGTAAAAGGCTTAATGACCAATAATTGATCATTACTGATTTGTTTATAGCCCATGAGCCTCTGTTTCCATTCTGTTTCCACACTTTCAAAACCTCTGCTATCATCCATTGCTTGTACTATACTAGTTTTAGTCTAGGCTCATAGCTGCCTCTACACAAAATAGCTACTACTCCTCTACTATTATGTACTGAAATCTCAACAGTACTATAGCAGTAGGCATTTTAATACACAACCCTACAAAGCTAAAAAAAATTAAAGGAATTAGGTAATATTCACCTGGCAGGTAAATAATTGCTGTTATAACTCATCTGGCTGAAACAAAGCTCCAGGCAGGCCAAGACACAGCCAGCCTGACATGCCCTAGCTCTACGGCTTTGCAGACATAATGTAAAGGTTGTGACCTCTTACTAGCAAAGGTAACGCCACACTTATGGGGCTGTAGGGCTCTGCCCAGTGGAATTTCATGCCTCATCTATGACTTTGAGGCAGCAAAGAAGTCTTAGCCAAGGATTTCATCAACCTTAGGAGAGACTCAAGGGGAGAAGAGGGGTTCCTGTGTTCTGGGTTGGCATGTACGGTCTGAAAACTTATTCTTTCATTGTACGCTACATGCAGTTGACCAAGCCATGTTCTGACAAGAGGGCAAAGTAAAATCTCCTAGATAGAAAGTAAATGTTAAAAAGAACTTACAGAATTCTTCACTTTCCTACTGAGTCCTGTAGCTTATCTATTCAGAGGAACCTCACTGACACAAAAAAAGAATGAAAATAGGTCTCATAATAATGAGGGCACATTTGGGTTTTCTAACAACCTGCTTTATGGGAAAGCGTTCCTTCCAGACTTGAGCTTTGTGTTCCAGTTTGGCCTCCGGCTGGTCCAGGCCTGCCCTGCAAGGGAAAAGGTCAGGATTCAAATGGAGAAGAGGGAACATGCTGGGGTAGACCACAAACCATCCTCTTCCATCACCATTGACTTTTTATTTGCTCCTGTCTAGATGAGTTTGAAACAACTGCAAAAGAAAGCAAAGATAAATTCAGTGCCATTTCCTTAAATCATTTCAAAAACTTAAAGCTCATTCCCAGGGTTTGTGTCCAGGAGGTGTCCCTCAGTCTTGTCTTAAATGCAACTACTTTTTCAGGTGTCTGTGGGAGAGAGGGAGTAGATGACAGAGGCCTGGACACAGGATATATTTGTGCATCCCCCAGTTGTCTGGGGATATTCTAAGTTGGGGAGCAGGCTACCAAACTTTCCTAATGGCTATGAAACCCCCACTTTTTGGTACAGTGAAGTGAGAGCTAAGAGCATTGGCAGAGAATCCTCAGACAGATTTCTTCCCTCTGGTTGTATATCGTGGCCTTTTCTGCAGCACCCGTGTGCTCTGAATGGGTGACAACAGCACTACACAATAAAACTCTGGTGTAATAAATGACATGAACAATAAAACATCTGCCAGTAAGGAAAGTAACTGTCCCAGATAAATGTTGCAGGCATAGTGGAAACTCCTGCTGGTTTATTATAGCCAGTTTATAGGATTTATTTCTGTTTCCTCTGACACTAGGAAAAATGAAATTCTCAAAACATCTTTAAAACAGAAGAAAACCATTAAATATTAAATTACTTCTACAGTGATGGTTAATGTAAGCTTCTCACATCAAGAAGAGAAATTGGATTTAATCAGTTTCTTAAATTCCATTTCAAATCATTAGAGCTGCATATACTGAATATGCTTACTGAACTGAATATGATTTTTACTAAACAGAAGATATCCACTAAAGAAGACGTGTATTAAAAATGCAATTCCATGTAGCTTTATATGAGAACCAGAATATAAAAACTTATATACATATATATATTATTTTGTTTATAGGATCTGGGATTATAAAATTATCAAGGAAAATGCACTGAAGTAATTAGGATGAATAGGCTTCTTCAAAAAAGATGAAGGGCTTGGTACTCTCATCCTTTGCATGCCATATAGTCACTTACCTCTTATAACTTTCTGATAACCAAAAAAAAAAAAAAAAAAAGTTACTGTTTTACTGTTTTGGTCTTGTAGAATGTAATTTCTAACATTTATTGACAAGTTTGTGTTTCTTTGAAATTAAATCCATATTGGTTTGGAAAATCTGATTTGTTATTTCAGTTTAGCCATATACTCACACATACACTGCATTGGTACCCAATAATCTCTTCTGATATAGAACTGTATTTAAAAAAAAAGGAACTTTTTTGTGAAACAAGCAGACTTGTTTCACAAATACCATTAGGAAATAATGTTGATTTTTTTTTTTCCTAAAATAATATTTCCTACTTGTTTTAGCAATAACTGATAATATTAAGAGTAAAAAAGATAAATAACCTAAGCAGATTTTATATAGTTGCAGTAGCAAAAGTTCAAAAAAATGTTGGTTTTAGAACATGTAATGTTCACAAAAGTTGTTAATATTTATTGTCACAAAATATATTCATTTGAAGTGTGCTCAGAAATAAGACAGAGAAGAAATGTAACTTTTGAGTAACGCTGAGTGAATTGGAGATAAAAAGCATTGTATTCTATATTATTGACTATTGTATTCTATATTATTGACTAATTAATTTTGCAGTGATCAGCTATAATAAACTCATAGACATATATGTAAATAATTACAAGTGCATACACTATGTGATGAATGGTATGTTGGTCTATGTTGGTCATTTTATTGTAACTGTGGCACCTGAAGCCTATTTTATGATACATATTTAGACTGTTGTTACTAAAAAGAGGGGATACTAAAGTACCACAAGTACTGAAATGGTGGGTGTGTGAGACAGCAGAGCCACTAAAGAAAAACAAGTGTCTTCAAAGGAAAGAAAATGGCAAACATAAATGCAAATTTATACATAAAGGAGGCAATGTGGACAGTCATGGAACTCCTATGTGATCCTGCAAAAAATGTGTTATAAGCCACATCTTGAGGTTTACGTAGGTGTAACCTTGTGTTAAATTTATTGTAGGAAAGACAAAACCTCTCAGATGAGACTTTTTTTTTTTTTTTTTAAAGATAGGAAGAATGCACCATACAGTGGAATTTTCCTTCATAAAACAAAGGTTTTATGCTGCTAATATATCATTTCATGTTTTTGATAACTGCTATCAAACACTTCCTGGAAAACTCTTTTAAAGGGAATCCACAGTGCTGGATCACTTTGGAAAACAGGAGAAAGCACTTTGGAAATCATGCAAACAAACTGAGAAAGCAGTTGAAAGATCACCTTGGTCTTAGCTTTTCACAGAAGAGCAATGTGGAAGCCTGCTGAGGTCTGAGGATGCAACACACTGTTGTAAGAGTATATTATTTTCCTGGGAACTTCACAATGGCTGGGGAAGAGTTTTTGGAACTCAGTTCCTTTCTGAACTTGTTTAGAAACTTCAGAAAAATAAGTTAATTCCAAGGACAATTCAGAAACCCTTCTGAAACCATGGGAATCTTTACAGATCTCCCCTGCTGGATTTTTTTGCTGCTGACTGACCATATGGGCAGAAGAAAATCTCAAAAGTTGTGTTTGAAGTGATGTGAACCAAGATAGACTACCTCAGAGCAATAGGAATATGTAAAATACAACATCTACATTGTTTCTGAAGCCTTGTGCCAGTGTTTTCAAGATGTGACAAATACTTGACCAAACAGTTAAACCTGCTATCAATAAATATTTTCAATATCTGTTTCATAGTTGAAACAATGTGCTGATATGAGCCACATTTTCTTGGCATCATCAATTCAATTTCTTATAGGAAGTGTTTAAGCACTGGAATTTTGGCATGGCTTAGCAAAATGCTTTCAGTCTGGCCTTATGTTGCTCTGAGAGCCTAATTGTACTCACTAACATGGCAACTAGGAAGACTTCATTTCCTTCTTAGAAAGATGTCTTGTGAGAGGTTGGATACAGAATCAAACACAATATACATTTCAGGATAAGGCAAAGCTACAAATGATTAAAAAATAATAATGTATTTTTCATGCCAAATATAGAACTAAATTTTTTGGCTCCCAGTACCCATTTCTCTGATGACTTAGTGGTGGTGTCATTAATATTTAAAAGCTTTGGTATAAGTTGGTATAGTTAAAATGACATGAATTAGTAACCTGTCAGTGCAAATTGCTTCTTCTGTTCATTTGTGCCTTGTAATATTCTAAAAATTACTGGGTAGGAATTGACTTTAATTTTAATTATATGGATATGAGATAATGTATTGGTGGAATACTTATCTTTTAATTTTGGCCAAGGATGCAGATTGTCTAGAGGCATCCATGAAAGTTCCCATTGGCTTCAGGCATTTAAATTTGGGAACACAAATATATGTATCCCTTCACCATACTGGTTGGAATTCTTTTCCTGTGAGTTACTCAATACTTCCTGAGATTTCTATGTGCTCATGATGTAAGCAGGGCTGCGAGATCTAGCCATAGGTAATTGCATTATTCGAGCTTTAAAATGGCAGGTTAATATTACTCAGGAGGCAGTTTCACACAAACAGATAAAATCCTACAGGATTTTTCTGGGTCTCTGTTAGCAATCCAAATAAGGATAAAGGATATTTTCTTAAGTCATACAGCTGTGTGAACAATTGAAATCAATTGGAGCTGTTGTTGAGCTATCTTGGATCCCTAGTCACACAGATATTTTTGGAAACGATTACACAGCTAAAGTAGCAAAGAAAGTATTAAGAAGGATTATGCTGATATTCTAGTTTCACTGTCTAGGGGTGAAACCACATCTCTTATCTATTCAACAGCAATAAAAACTGTTTTTTTTGGGAAAAAAAAAAAAGTGTGATCAATACAGAAAAGATTTCATTGTATAATACATTTAGGTGTAACCCAGAGATTTGGCATGAAAAAAAACAACACACCCTCAATAGGAAGGCTCATAACTAATTCATTAGAAAAAAAAAAAAGACAAAAAAAAAAGACTATATTTCTTTTGTGAGGTTGGCCAATTTTGTTCACTCAGTTTTAAAATGTAGATTGTTTTCTATTTGTTCCTGCTATTCCTCCTCAGCTCCTTGCTTGAAGGCTGCTGCCTGTTCTCCTGCTGCCAACAGCCTGCTGCATTTTGTGCTGTGATGCAGTCTTCTGCTTACCCCTGGGTTTGGCAGCACTGCTTGTGTTGATAGTAACTAGGTTTGGCATTGCTTCTACAAGGAGTGCAAGGATTTGACAACACCCTATGTCGGAAGATAAAGTCCACATCAAATAAGACTAGGTCAACTTTCAGTAATCTGTTTAAAATGCCACTCTGGCGGCTTAAGAGACTCTTATTACTTACAGCTTAATTGAGCTAATATGAAAGTGTTTGACTTCTGTTTATGGCACCGTGATAACTGGGTATAATTCCAGCTGGCCATTCTGGTTATCATCACTGATGTCACTAATTAAGGCTGTTTGCAGAGAGCTCCCAGCTACGCCAAAGAGCAGCCTGCAGCCACTGGGGCTGCCTGGGGAGCCCGGGGCCAGCAAGTCACCCCGCTGTCACCTTTGCTGGCACTGTGGCTGGGTGCGGGGACATGGGGTGGTGGCAGGGTGTGCACACAGGCACGGCAGCACGGAGGCTGCACCTGCCAGTGTGGGGTGCTGCTGGTTTCAACCAAGGTCTGCGTGCAGAGTTGCACGTCCACACCATCAGCCTTTCTCCATGTGGGAGCACCAAGCAGGGGAGCCACAGCCTCGAGGACGAAGGTAGCACCACTGTGCTATTGCAACCTCGTTTAGCAATGTATAGTATAACTGTAACACTGAAGAAGGTCTTCTGTATGTGTCCTGCTGTATGCTATTGCAGTCGTCAGTGCCATACCAAATGCCTTTGTAAATTTTTCAGTCTTCATCTTTGCCTGGCTTTGGATTTCTGTCTGCTCTTCACCATTTAGGAATTTTTTCATGACCTCATTGTCACATGGTTTGGAAATTGTGCTCTACTTTTCTGGTCTAGAATACTAGATACCAATAGTTGCTAAGATGTAGGATTTAAAACTAGCAGTTGCTGTATGTTAGAAGAAGCATCAAAAGAGAAGAGAATAATAAGGACCTGTGTGTACCTGTTTTCTTTTGAGAAGAATAATGCTGATACTTCTGCTGTGATTGATAGCAATACATAAAACATAAATATCCGTGGTTCCAAAAGCTGTTGCTAGCCATGACAACCTTGCCTGGACTGATGAATGTTCAATTTCTGTAGAGATAATATAATAACATATTAGAAACATCCTTTAAAATAATAATGACTTACTCCATTTGAATGATCTGAAAGCCTTAAAGAGGGAACAAATGTGTACTGAAAACACTACAATGCTTCTGTGCTCAACAGTCATAAATATATTTTAAAAATCTCATCTAGGTGGTTGGCTGACAATTCAATTATTCAACTTGGTGCTGGAGAACATCATAACAAAATTTGTCTCTGTAGTGACACAATAGTAAATCTGAAGTAAAAGATGCCTTTGGAATGAACAAAGAATCTACTTGTTAATTTTATTTATGTGATATCAAAGAATAAAAACACAGCCAATTCACGCAGCCAGCCCAGGAGCTGCGTGGTTGTGGTGCTGTGGATGTGGTCAGTACAGTGGCTGTTCTGTCTGGGCAGCCCGCTATAGGTATCTGTATCTGACCCTGTGTTTATGGAGTCCTGTATATCATGACACAGCCCCCAGGCCCTGTAAAGTCCACCCCTGCTACCCGTTCACCCTCCACTAATTGTATAAGCACCAGAAAACAACCCTGAGTCGTATACACTGAAGGTTCCTCTGGGTGGCTGAGACCCATTTCTGACAAGATAACGTGCAGCCCTTCTATTCCACTTCCACTCTGCAATCTCTGGCAGTTTAAAGTTGGGCATGGCTTTTTTAACTTGAAATAATGCAAGATCACCATGGATGGTCATCCCTTGTTCTAACTGTTGGTAGTCCACCTCTAGTCCTCCAGGTTCCTAGGGAGAAAGCAAGTGAGTACATTCATTTTGAAATCCTTACACTCTTCTGCCATTGACTGTAAAGGTAGGAGGAACATGTGCAGACCAGTGTGCAAAATCATAATTTAAGTATTTCAAATTCTTAAAAGATTCAAATTCTGCCCTTTGTTCTTTGTTCAACTTCTGCCAGAAGTTGACCTTTGCATTTCCATCTATGTGCAAAGAAAAAAAAAAAAGGCTACCGTATAGACAAATGACAGTTAAAGGAAAAGCCCCAAAACAGTATGGAGAAAGTAAAAACCTCAGATATTACTGAATTGTCAGAGATCAGGCCAATGCCCAAAGACCAAAAGGAGGAGGAAGAAGTCACACCAGTAGCTGAAATGAAAAGCCAGAAGAAAGCAAACAGGTAGGGCTATGTGGCTTGTTGCTGACTGTGAGAGACAGAGCAACCATCTGAAGCTAGGTGTCCTTTGTCTGCTGCCTCTGGAAGAGCTTGTTTTACAGGAGGCAGCACTCAGCACTTCCCAGGGGGGACAGCTATGGGCAGATTTGCAAGACAGAGTACACAACATGAAAGGGTTCTTTGAAAAATGTAACCAAATTTATAGATGAGGGTGATCTTTTTCCTGAAGTCTTTTGGCTTTATATAAAAGCACTCAGACCTCACATGGCGAACACATAGCACACAAAGTTGCTCTTTCTTTCTGAGACTTACTCATGCGTCAGGGTTGCAGAAAGTGATAGACCTTACACTTTAGAGGGGTCACAATTCATGAGCTTAGCAGCTACTAACATCAAAATATGGCAACATTTCTCGTGCTCCTGCATTATTTCACAGTCTTCTCTGGTATTATTCTTCTGCTGGTATCACTCTCTGCAAAGAGGTTTTGTTATTTTTCTGGATATAACTCTTATAAAAAGCATTGTGCTGTCAAAGATTAAAAGATTACCATGTAGATAAGACAGGAGAAAGGAGTAAAAATCGTATTTGCAGAGAAATGCAATAGGTCAGCTGAGTGCAACACGCTTTCAGGAGCCACTCTATTTGTACTGATAATTTTTGTTTCACTCATGCATAACAATGGATAACGCAAATGTAAGTTTAGCATAGCACTCTCAATACACAAAAGTTAGACTTTAATATTCCACCATGTCAGCAGTAAACAGAGGAGCAGAAAACTGTGTTTGTATTGATTCCCTTCTGAGAACCTGTGAGCGCTCCCGGCAGCTCACTTCACACACGCTATCAGCCTTCCCTCGGCCAGCAGGGCTGGAGCAGGAGCTTGTGATAGCAGCTGGGTTGGAGGGTGGCGTGCAGGAAAGCAGGAATGAGTCAAGGAAAACACTTGCATGTCTTGATAGGTGACGTTTTGACAAGCACGTAGGTCTCGATTCACCTTTGTGAGTGCAGATGAACTTTGTGAACGTGGTAAGCTGAGGTAAGGTGAGGTCAGCGGGAGGGGGCTGAGTGCCACTTGCTGCTGCTGCTGTGCTGCTTTTACTCTGGGGATGTTTGCAAGGCCAGCAGTGGTACCAAGGGGTGTCTGGAGTCATGCTTAGAAGTGTTGGTCCTGCTTGCAGGAAATAGCACTTAATTACCCTAACCCCTGAATTTGCCCTACATCATGGCTGCTGCTCAGGGAGTGACTGCAGCAACTCCAGAGGAGTGCCAGCGCTCGGGATGAGCTCTGGGCCATGCATACCATCCCTTTAGATGTGGCTTAGGAAAATAGATCTCAGCTATGAATGAGGCTCGTGGAAACCACCTCTGCTGGTCCACAGCAAAATACCTGCTGACTTCAGTAAAGAGTCAAGTTCAGGCTCTTGGTCTTACAGTGGTTCACAATACAGGTTCGCTGTAGTCATTTCAGCAAAAGTGGGTGCGTCCTGAGGGCTCTATTTCTGCATTTTTTAATTTATTTTACTTTTTCATTTTGACAAGTAGAAGAACCTGCCTTTCATCAGTACTGTGCAACAGTGCCCTTCTGCACAGGACATCAGGTCAGGCCAGGACAAACAGCATGGAGTCGGGGGAATGGACATGGAAGTGTCTGGGCTGTGTTTCCGTTGGACCTCCCCAGTTCCAAGTCTATTTGAGTGATGGTTAATTTGAATGACATGCAGAGCGAGATGAATCATGAAGAATAAAAGATTAGCACATTAACTGGAAAGAGAGTTAGGTGGTACGCATGAAAACATCCTGTGTTTCTCACTACCTTTCTTGCTTTATGAATACAAATTATTTTTTATAAATCTTTTGATGCGCCCTGGAAGGAATAATGTAAAATAATGTAAATTATTATTTTTTTCCTCCTTCAACTGATTACTCATCATTATAGCACAAAAACATTGGTCTGCTTAGAAGGAAATCCAGTCCTGTTAATTCTTTCCATGGTTTTATTAGTATAGTCTGTATTTATGATTTTTCCAGAAACAGTTTTATTACCACACCCTCTCACTATTGTGAGTTTTTCTTTCCTTTTTTTTTTTTTTTTTTTTCTTAATCTCTATTACATTATCTTTGTTTTGATGATGGCTGTCGTTATGTATCAATTCAAACAGGTCTTCAAGGAGTATTGTGCTCAGGTTGTTTTCTCTCATCACAGTGGGCAGCTGCTTTTCTTTTCTATTTTCTGTTAAGGTGTCATTTCTTTCAGTCACAAGGGTGTATTTTTGCTGGTGTAGATAATGAGTGCAAGATTAACTCACAAGGCAGGCACTTGCTGGGAAGCTTAACATTAGCTCATGAAATCGAAAGCCTCATACTGTAGCTGAATTTCCTGGAAAAAAATAAAATTAAATGAGCTTCTATTGTTACAAACCAAAAGGACCACAAACTGTCGAGAAATGCACGTTCACATTCTAATAGATATATTATTTATCTAATAAATATATCATGATTCATACTTACATGAATCATCTCTCTCTAACATATATATATATACATACCAGAATAAATATATCAGAACTCTCTCAAATTTCACTGACAATTTTGAGGTGTCAGCACTTGTGACTTTTCAGTGTTCCTCAAAAGAAGCAGCTGATTTTTAGGAAAGAAAGCAAATTCAGCAGTCTTGTGCCTATTTTATTTTTGGAGACTTTCACCTCCGTATTGGTAACTGAGCATATGATAATCTTGAAAGGGAGTAAATTAAGAGTATTCAATCATTCTAAATAAATATATACAGATTAAAGCCTGAAATTTTCTTCTTAAAGCAGCTAGTTTCAACCCACAATACTTTACAGAAGATTTGCAAAGTTTTTAGAAAAAAATATGAATAAGAATAGTATCTTTAATTATATGAATAGAGATGAATTGATTATCACTATTACTCCTCTAAAGCATCTGGTTTGCAGTTTTAAAAGGCTGTAAGCTTCAGGGTCTGGAAGGAGGTAGATCTGTTCTGGCATCAGATCTGGCACTGTTTTTATCTCATTACTTCCCTGAAGAGAAAGATAAAGACAAAAAGAATTTTCAATTCTCCTAGCTAGAGGAAACGAATGGGGTGGTGACTCAGAGACACAAGTGCATGGACCCATAAAGGAAAACCAAAATGGGATATGGGTGCTAAGTCCAAATCCCTCTCACCTCCTGAGACTGTGGCAAACAAGAGGTGAGGAGGGGCAGTTGGAGTCACTCTGTCACACTCACAGATACGGGGATTGCTGATCTCCACAGTCCAGGTAAATGCAAACCAGAGTACATCTACTCCTACAAAGCCAGTCTGCAAGCTATAATCCTTCAGTCGTTGCTTCCCATTAACATAGTTGTCTGCAGGTGAGGGGACCAATATATCTCAAAGACGGTGAGTCACAGCTGCAGATAGTAGCTTCAGCAATACAGTTTTCAGCTGTTACAGCATGTTTTTCATGATGTCTACTATGGCATAGGTACACCTGCCAGAGTTCAGAGAGCCTCCTTGGTGGGGTCTATGGAGGCTCCACAACAGCCCCAGCTACCACCATAACCAAGGTGAGTGTTTAGCACTAGCAAAATCAAATGCAAAACAAAGCACAGTAGAAATGACTGTTTTAGTTAAAGACTTGGCTGGCAATGGAGTATTTCTTGCTTTCAAATCAGATTATGAATTTTACATTGGAGGAATTGTTGGATGAAGCACACAGATGACGTTGGGAGCTTGCTGAAAGCATCATTGTCCCATGCAGCATTGTCCAAATGAAAGCAAACGTAGTTAGCATGATATTCTGAGTTTTGGTTGGCTCTTCTCATCTTGTGTATTTGTCAACTGAAGTCATGCTGACCTGCTTTCTTGGGGCTTAAATGCTTATATAAACCAGATGCCAAGACTGTAGTGTAATTAAAGTACTAATTACTACTTTTGACATATATTTCTAGTGATGAGGGTTGTTTCTAGAATGCCTTTGATGCTACTTTGCAAGGGTGCTGAGTTGTTTCTTTTCCATTATTTTTGAATGCTGACGTTTGCTTGTTCTGTACTTTTAGATGTAGGGATATAACGGTAGACAGTAAAGCAAATTCAGACATTGGTTTTATATGTAATACGATGGCATAAAGTAAACCAAGCGATAGATTTTTTGCTATGGGGAAAATATATTTCTATTTTTCTCAGTAGTTTTCAATGCAATACCCTTATTTAATTTACTGTTCTTGTATCCTTAAAAACAGGCCAAGAATCACCTGAAGGTAAAAGAAGTTGAGAATCATAACTAAACATAATCATGATTCTCTTGCCAATTTCTAACAACAGCCTCCTTGTCTGTAGTCTTTTTCTTCCTCCTGCATTTTTGCTCCCAATATTAAGACAAGGACTGTTCACATGTGAGTGTGAAATATATTTATCTTCTGCTCTACAGTGAAAATGAAATCATGAAATAATAAAAGGAAATCCTATAGAAAACACTAAAAATTGTAACAAATTTTTCACAAATGCTGAGGTTTGGTAACGAGCTAAGGAAGTATTATGGGTAGGTGTGAAGAGCAAAACTACAGTAAGGGGTAGGGTAGGCATGTCATTTCAAAGGACGTAGCTGTAAGAAGCTCACTTATAAAAGTTATATAGAGAGGTAGAAGCTATGGATCTTTGAAACAGGAAGGGATATATGTATCCTAAAAATAGCAAGGAGGTGCAAAGACTTGCTCAGCATGAGCTTGCAGTGCTGCAGGCTTGGGACCACTGCCTGGGGGTAGCTCTGCAGCCAAGGCCCTGAGACAGCTCCCATCAGCCCTGGAAGGATCAGGGCCTGCTCCTGATGAACAACATCAGCAGAAGTAATCACGTCCTCTTTCCAGTGAGTATTAAACCACATCTGAATTACTGTGGCTGGTCTAGGTGCCCCAACAGAAGAGAATTATAGAATCATAGAAAAATTAAGGTTAGAAAAGACCTTCAGGATCATCTGGTCCAACCATCACCCTACTACCAATGTCACCCACTAAACCATGTCCCTACATACCAGGTCCAACCTTTCCTTGAACTCCCCCAGGGACGGTGACTCAGCCACTTCCCTGGGCAACCTGTTCCAATGCCTGACTGCTCTTTCTGAGAAGAAATGTCTTCTAATTGTTTTAATTGTTGAAGAGTAGTGCTCTTTGTTCAATTCTTTGTTTTAACTGTTGAAGAGTAGGGGCATGATATTTCCATTTTTCCACTCACCAGGGATATCGCCAGAATGCCAAAACTTCTCAGCTATGCTGGAGAGAGGCTTGGCAACTACATCAGCCAGTTCCCTCAGGACCCTGGGATTCATGTCATCAGTTACCATAGGCTTGTACCTGTTCAGATGCATCAGGTTGTCTCAAACCTCTCTTCACTTACAGTGGTTGTGGCTCTGATCTCCCAGTCTCCATCTACAGATTCAGGGAAATGAAAGACTTGGGGAGCCTGTCTTCCAGTGCAGACAGAGGCAAAGAATTTGCTGAGTACCTCAGCCTTCTCCATGTCAGTCATTACCAACTGCTCACGTATAGAAACTCACTCCTAATATAAGAAATTAGCCACCCATAATCACTTACACACTACTATTTTCACCCCTCAGTTTATTTTCACAAATGTTAAAGGCACATGGTGGCCCTTGGGGAGTCCTCCTGTCACCCCAGTGCAGCAGCCAGAAGGAAGCTGGGTCCTCTCTTGAGCTCACCCCCTTTTCTGGGGCTGACTCCCCTGGGCCAATTGGCTTGCCAGAGACCAAGGCTGCCCCTTGGCCAGAAACATCAATAAACATCAAGAGAAAGAAGAAATAGAATCAATATAAATCAACAGAAAAGAAACATCAAGAAGTTCAGCAGAGGGCCTACAGGATGACTGAGGCTGGAGCATTTTTACCACGGGGAGAGACTGAGGGACTGACACTTGTTCAGCCTGGAGATGAGATGATTTTGGGGGACTCCACTAGTGACAAGGAAGTAATCAAAAACACAGAGCCAGGCTGTTCACAGAGATGCATAGTGGGAGGGCAAGAAACAGAGAGGGTAAATTGAAAGAACTGACTGGATATAATGAGTAACTTGTTCCCCATGAGAACAGTCAGGCTGTGGTGCAGTTTGACTGTAGAAGTTATGTGGTCTGTGTTCTTGCAGGTTTTCAAGACCTGACTAGATAACAGTCCCTGAGCAAGCTGGTCTGATCTCACCCTTGCCCATGCTTGAGCAGGAGGTTAGACCAGAGACTTCCTAGGGCCTCTTCCAGCCTCAATTATCCTGTGGTTCTGTGATTCTGTGAGAGAAATTTGATTCCTGTTCAGGGACCTGTAACTTCAGGGAAGTGGGAAAAGTACTGGTGAATCAAAAGACCAAGGCAGATGGGGAACATGTGATGAACGCAAGGTTGGCTGTTTCTTTTTTCTTTTTGAAATGGACTTGAATCATCTTACAGCTTCAATCAGCATTAATCCCCAAAGTGTTTATTTTTCTGTAGGACTTCATAGGTAGGTGAATAAGGAATGCCAGATGCAGCACAGTTTCTATTGGAGCTGAATAGAAAAGCAACAGATTGACCAGGGCTTATTTTTCTTTTGTAAATAAGCAGTGGTTGTTGTAGTTGTTATTTATTTATTTTTTGAAGCCTAATTTGTTTCCTAATGAGGCTTACACAATAACATTTCCCATTCTTTACTAATTGTGCCAGAACCCATGGCCTAACTGAAACCAAATCTGATAGAGTAGACTCAAATGTTGAGTTCCAATGTATTTAATGAAAGAAAGAATGTAGGTAATGGAGTAGGACTCTGTCAGTCTCTGCCATCAGCTTAGGCACTAGCTGAGATGAAGGTCTGTGCAGGGAACAGGAAAGGTAAGTACAGTGAGATATGAGCCTTGTGAGTTAGCACAGGCAGAGTATTATATGTATTTCTCAGTGCCAGACATAAAACTGTAGGAAATGGACCTGCAGTGCTTCTACAGCTGGTGAACTGTTCAGATGTAGAAGGTCCATATTCCATGCCCCCAATGAACAGCTCCTTGAAAACAAACAGCGTATTTCAAGTTGGTGTGCTGGGCTTTCCATTCCTTCTAACTCTTCTCTGTAGTGGGGTCTGTAACTGGAGAGGTGTGAGATGGTTCACGGAAATTAGGGGTTTTCTCCATAATCACGAGCGTATTTGACACTCTTTTGTCATGTGTCTTGGCACTGAGGCTGCCAAAACAGACTTCCCTTTCCTCTCCTTAACTCTGTATCAGCCATATGCAAAGTACAGGGCTGTATGCTGGGTGTCCCTCATTTCCAATCAGCTACATGTACAGTTGGGCAGCCTGATTTCTGATTATGGCCTCATTTGGGATATGAGGAGTGAGAAAGAAGTTGGTGTTATTTGCTCGGGGCCAGAAGTTATGCAGAACCAGAGCCCCAGAAGTCCATCTTCTAAAAGGCTTACTCTCCAGTGTTACCCTGATATATGACCTGACTCACCAGATACACTCCTCATCACAGGACCCATGCCACATGCCATTATCTTCACTCTAATGAAAGTCTGTTTTGAAAGGCTTCCATCCCACTATACCTCTGACTATGGCCTTTTTATTTTTATTTTTATTTTTATTTTTATTTTTATTTTTATTTTTATTTTTATTTTTATTTTTATTTTTATTTTTATTTTTATTTTTATTTTTATTTTTATTTTTATTTTTATTTTTATTTTTATTTTTATTTTTATTTTATTTTTATTTTTTTCTGCCATGAAGATAAGTGTGTCTCAGTGATATCCCACCCCTAGATGGCATGATGATACTATAAAATGCTCAATTCATTTCACGTATTAAGCAATCATTAAACCATTGCCATGTTAAGAACATGCTCCAAAGACCCAGGATGCATATTGGATGGTCCTTATTCCCAGCATGCCTGGAGTCATCCTGATGTTAATACTGGAATATGGATTTAGAAAGTCAAAAGAAAATTGCTGGACATGTAGAGTAGCCACATTTTCAAATACTAGTATCTGCACCATTCATTTTGCAAATGCCAAAAGGGCATAGCTCACAGCCTGTAAATGCATCGGTTCACAATTGTCTTTGTAAGAGTCATGTTGGGGTTGCAAGAATGAAAAATCAGGCTGCCGTCAGTGAACTTCTGTCACCATTTTAATTCTCCAAATCTACTTGCATTTGAAGGGAAATAAATGTGATAATCACTGTACATGATGGTCATATAGATTCTATCATATCTGCAAATATAACACTCAGAGGCTTAGAGAAAATCATTTACCCTTCACTAAGCATATGAAACTTAGCAGCTTCAATGAGAGTTGTGTACATAGGTTTGACTACGTTCCTGAATTTTCTTATGGGCATGGAAAAAGTC